AGAGGAGATATTTTAAAAGCCATTCAACGAACGTAGAAATTATTGGATAACGGCAGAATCTACAGTATATTTTTTACCTCTTTCCAACATTTTTTTTTTTACTTTCGAAATTTTGATACCGTCTGGCAGATGTGCCGGATGGATTGAAATTTTTTTGCATCATAAAATTTTTCTACATTTTCCGACCCCGCTTACACAGGGGATTCTGTAGTTACTGGCGAATCGAATATTTTTAATGGAGATTTTCATTAATAAGCCCGGCTGAATAAGTAAAAGCAGAAATGGTTTTCCAGGGATTAGACGCCTGAGTAACGGTAGAACGGGAGACCAGTTTATAGCTAGAGTGACTCCATGTATCAGTTGGGTGAATTTTAAACGGGAATTTTGAGTTTGCAAAAAGTACACGTTGAATATACTTGCAAAAAGTACTATCGGACAAAAGGAAAAGAAGGGTGACAGTGGAAAGAGAAAGAAAAGGATAGAATATATGATGTTATATCACTGACACTAGGAGAAAGTTGAAAAAAAAAATGAAATTAAATTCAGCAGACGACAAAGATGGCAGATAAAGGTAAAAAATTTTGTATTTCCAGTCTTGTGAAATAAGAGTCAAAATTTGAGTTAGCCGTACTAGGCTAGAAAAAAAAATGTCGATTATAACCTAACGATTCCGATTAAGGCCCAAAATGATAACTGAGTTTTGTAGTTTCCTTATTGGCACCAATTCTCGGTACCGTTATCTAACGACGACTGAATTTTATCCAATTGCAATTTCTCTCTTCTCACAGTTCTACTAGTCAGTTGCCTAAAAACCAATTACAAACGTATAAAGATTTTCAAAAATTGCAGCATCGTGCAATAGGGTTATAAGATCTTCAAGCAGGGGCCCTCGCGTCATCCAATTATCGACATATAAAAATTTCCAAAAATTGCAAAATTATACAACAGGGTTACATGCCCCTAATGAAGGGGTCCTTGCGCAAATAGTGTCTCCTGTTGCTTCAGTTAATTACCTACGTTACACACATATATATATATATATATACGAGGCTGTATATATGTATATATACTTATCAGCCTCGTAAAATGCAGTTAGCATAGGCAGTAAAGTGAGTGATGCTCTTTTGCGTAGGTCCCAAAGTTACCGAAACGAGGGTTATTCGTTTAATAATTCAGCTGTTAAAATGATTAGGGTTGGGCTCTACCATACCGACCGGATAAGAGTCGAGCTTCGGATGCTTTGAGTCGGGTCACTGATTACTTAAGCTCCCTGAATTAAAGATGCCGGACTTATACCAAAGTCTCTATCCAATGTACAGAGAGTATAGTTACCGGGTCTTATTTCATCGATACTTTAGCCTCCCTTAAATTATTTGCTCGATACCGAAGTCCATAATTTATTTAGCAGTTTTCAACTCGAATTAGCGATACTTCCATCGACCTTATACAATTTCCTTTTACTTCTCTCTTGCCTTCTCCAAGCTACCATTCGCGTCAACTGCGTCGCTCCTACATTGCCGTCCAATGGACGCACTACTTTTATGCCCTTTTTGAATAAAGCTTTTTTCTACGTGACGTCAACAAGGAGTTGGCTGATTAGCCGCGATGTTTCCCTACTTAAGGG